CCTTAAGAATCACTCTATCTATTAAAAAAAACCGCATCAAAATCCGTTGCGTAGTTTTAAAGATCTAAGCATACATACGGACATACAGCGAAAGCGACTTTGTTTTATACTATGTATTGATGCGAAAGCAAAGTTTCGCATAAGACACTCATTCACTCATGATCATCAAAATAGAAGTGGTACTTCCAATAAATTCAGAGAGTTGAAATTTTGTATAGAGTTAGTTTAGGTTAGGTTTAACCCTTTGAGAACCGTCATAGGTAATAGAGACAAATAGAACAATAGTGTGCGGACACCGATGTCCTCGCGGTGTTTGACAGTTTAATGGCCACATAAAGGGAAAACTATAATAAAAACTAGGATAATCGAAGGTCTGAAGTACGGGAGTACCTGGTGACCCTGGTTAGAAACCACAAGAGCCCAACCTAACTGTAAGAGATTGACATGTACTGCCTTTACAAAAATTATTCAACTTGGTAGGCCGGTCATTCGATGTCAAAAATCTAAGGTCTGAAGAATCTGATGAAATCCAACCAAAGACATTCTGTAAAAAGACTAGCCAAGTTTCAATGGAGCCGCTCGTTCATTTCTAAAAAGTAACAAAAACCAGACAAAGTCGTACCAAGGCTAAGGTGCATTTTTTTATAGTTAATGTTGTGTTGTGTTTCTTTATAGTTAACTTGACCGTTGAACCGCTACCCGTATATTACTATGTTAGTAATATACTCAAAAGCCTTGTATCCCAATTTGACAAAAAATAAGTAACAACTGGTAGTGACGTCCATCGATCTACAGTGCAGTCACCAACTCGATACTAATTACAATATTTCATCCGAAAAGAATCGATTCTTATTGAACATTTTCGAATGAATTTATTATCATTACGATTCTGAAAATATAATAATAAAATATACTAATCTGCATGTATGACTCTTTGTCTGTGGTCTGATATAACAAATATCGAAATTGGAACTACAACACTTGATTTAATTTTCTTTTATAAACGAATGGTTAATTAAGTTTTTACTTGCTATTTAATTCTACATCCTTTGATGTTACTTTAATTCAATAGCAACACTAGGTATTGGCCTGACATAGAAAAAAAAATGTGATTGCGGTGAATGTCAATTTTGTGCTATTTTTGTATTTATAATTCCATTTTGTGCTGTCGCAAAACAATTTATCACAGCCGATAAGAGACAACAACTTGACTATCATTCATAGTTTCCACGTAACGTACAACGCGTAAGTCGACCTTGTATTTTAAACATTCTTACTAGCTGTTTGTCACTTGCTAATCAGTCATGAAAAATATTATTGGAAAAAGTTGGCGTGACTCTGCTTCGTTAATAGTGCTCACAAAGCGGAATAGCGAGGTGTTATCGCGCATTGAAAATTGTGGCAATGTTAATTACGACATATTGTTACAGACTCGAACGAGTAAGGGTACGTTTGCCAACAGCGTGGTGTTTCCCGGCGGAGTCACCGAGTCCGCGGACGGAAGCAACCGCTGGTGGGACCTGTTCAGGTCCTTCGGCTATTCGACACAAGATTTCGAAGTATTTCACCGCCCGAATACCATAACCTCAGAGATCTTTAAAAATAATCCTATACAAAGGTAAATTTTGTGGACCTTGACATCTCGGCTGACGTTTTCGTCAGTCACATACAAGTGATAACGACAGTAAACATTAATGCTTGTACACTTGTGTATCACATTATATTTAATACCAAGTGGAGTGTTCTGCAATCATTTTTATGTATGTTACCTAACTCTTATTTACACTGCATAGTGATAGCTACTGTCTTATTAGACCATCTCTAATAGAATTCATACTTTCTACCAGTGTTTTTTTATATTGTTTTGTACTTAATTTATGCATTATACTGGTTATGCAAAATGAGAACCGTGAACTAATTAAAAGTTTACAATTTAAATATTTGCCCAGTTTGATTAAATTATTTTGATTATAAAATCCAAAATAGTTGCCATTGTGTAGTATTATGGCAAAATATTATTAGTTCATAGATCTGATTTCTATGTATATAATCTTTCTGCCTTGATTATAGCCTTCAAATATATTTTTATGCTGGAAAAACCACAAGCAGAACAAACCACAATTAAATAAAGACAAGACATTTGATTCCTAATTGAACCAACTCTCAATGTACCAACATACTCATAGATACAACATAATAAATATATAGTCATTTACTCAAGTACTTGCTAAACATATTGGCCTCCAATACATTTCTCATAATATTATGTTCTATTGTGGCCAATTTATCACATTGACAATGTTGGTGGCATAACAACATTCATTGGAAGGTTTGACGAAAAGCTATAAACTACAGTATATTTGATTGTGTGGCTAACACTTGCCACTATGTATGTGAAACATAGAATATTTTAATTGTTATAGACATCTACAGCTGAGAATAACAGCAATTAGAGAGACATTTGAGGAATTGGGTCTCTTGATCTGCAGTCGGGGTAGGAAGGAGTGTAGAGATGGTAATCTATGGGCCAATACCATAGAAGGTGTTGATCTCAAACATTGGCAAAATCGGGTGAGATATTACAAGATTTTATGAAATATTGCTCTCGTTGTTCCTTGTAATTCATGCTGGTAGCCACACTCCCATTTTTCACATTTTTTATAAATCTCAATGTTTCCAGGTAAGCAAAAACCCTGAGGACTTGATCACTCTGTGTGAAGAGTACCAGTGCTACCCGGATATTTGGTCCCTGTACTATTGGAGCAACTGGTTATCTCCCATCACGCTCCCTAAGAGATTCGACACAGCATTCTTCATCGCTGCAATAAAAGATAAACCTGATTATCTTAGGAGCTCCTCCGAAGTGGTTAAAGTAGAGGTAAATACGTAATAAATATTATTTATCTCTTTATTTGTCTCAATCTGCTGTTGTCAGTCCATAATTGATTGTTTTACGTCAGAGTTCATTAACATTGTGTCTTGAATGTGAAAAACCAATTAATTAATGCCAGTTATAACTGTATTCTACATAATTTGACATGTAATGCTGATTAATATATCTGTCTTATTTTCAGTGGCTCCCTCCTGGAGAAGTTTTAAATAGTGACAGGAAATTGCAACCACCACAGATTTATGAATTTCTCCGATTGTCCCATGTGAAGGATATTGAAGAGCTAATCACATTTGCATCTGAGAGGAGTGGTCATGGTACTAACTTATCGTATCCATTTGTTGTGAAAGCTAAGGATGGCGCATTGTTTACATTACCTGGTAAATATTTCTTCATTTAACTCTTACATTTTTGTATAATTCCGCTCAATACTTACGGTTTGTTTTCCTCCACAGGTGATGACTTATACCCTTCAAGTGTAGACTACAACGACAATAAGATTAAATATATAGACCAAACTATATTAGAGTTAAGAGAGTCTTCTAAATCAGTTCATAGAATTGAATCTAAGGAAAACTGTAGACGCTTAGTTATTCAGAATTACAAACCTGAACATCACATCGAAATGGAGAACAAAACCTATGAAGGTTTTGCTACAGCTTAATATACACTCTGTAATTCCAGTTCATGCCTTAAACTTGGCCTTATTAGCATTATAATAAGAACTGGTATTGGTTCTAGTGCTATATCAGAAGGTGTAGGTACATTAGACAGTAACAATGGCAGGCTCCGGGCACACGTGGCCCAATAGCCAGGACGATTACGAGCTCCTGGACGTCATCGGGGTCGGCGCCACCGCCGTAGTACACGCCGCCTACTGCCGCCCGCGCAACGAGAAGTGTGCCATCAAGCGCATCAACCTCGAGAAGTGGAACACCTCCATGGACGAGCTCCTCAAGGAGATCCAAGCCATGTCCAGCTGTAACCACGAGAACGTCGTCACCTACTACACCAGCTTCGTCGTCAAAGAGGAGCTGTGGCTCGTACTCCGGCTGCTCGAGGGCGGCAGCTTGCTCGACATTATCAAACACAAAATGAGGATATCTAACTGCAAACATGGTGTCTTCGACGAGGCCACCATCGCCACCGTACTCAAAGAAGTGCTTAAGGGACTAGAGTACTTCCACCAGAATGGACAGATTCACAGAGACATAAAGGCTGGTAACATTTTACTTGGTGATGACGGTATCGTCCAAATCGCTGATTTTGGTGTATCTGCGTGGCTTGCAACCGGCCGTGATCTCTCACGACAAAAGGTTAGGCATACGTTCGTAGGCACACCATGCTGGATGGCGCCTGAAGTGATGGAGCAAAACCACGGCTATGATTTCAAAGCTGATATCTGGTCATTCGGAATTACAGCTATAGAAATGGCTACTGGCACTGCACCATATCACAAGTATCCGCCCATGAAGGTACTCATGCTTACCCTACAAAACGATCCGCCCACGCTCGACACTGGCGCCGAAGAGAAGGACCAGTACAAGGCCTATGGTAAAACGTTCAGGAAAATGATATTCGAGTGTCTGCAAAAAGACCCTGCAAAACGACCGACGGCTACCGAGCTGTTGAAGCACTCGTTCTTTAAGAAGGCACGCGATCGTAAGTATCTGGTCTCTACCCTGGTGACAATCGGACCCAGCATGGAGACACGTGTACACAAGGCTAGTCGAAGGCAACCCGGAGCCTCGGGTCGTCTGCATCGCATGGAGACTGGAGAGTGGGTGTGGGAAAGCGAGGAGGAAGATGACGATGAGGACGACGCAGCACGGGACCGACCCATGAACACTCTGGAGCGCGCCGACAGCTCGGACAGCGACGACGAGCGCGCCGCCTTCACCATCGGCTCGGCCGGCGCACCCGACGCACGCCAGGCGCCACTTATCAACCTCGTGCTGCGCATGCGCAACGCGCGCCACGAGCTCAACGACATTCGCTTCGAGTTCGCAGCGGGCAAGGACTCGGCGGACGGCATCGCCACGGAGCTGGTGGGCGCAGGGCTGCTGGACGCGCGCGACGCTGACGTCACGGCGCGCCAGTTGCAGCGCCTGGTGGACGACTTCTTGTTCCCGGCTGCCGGCACGACCGCGCCGCGCTCGCTCACCTTCCGCCTCAACTCGGCGCCGCCCGAACCCGAGGACGAGCAGAGCCTCGTCGGTTTCGCGCAGATCTCCATCGTGGACTGACCGGTGCCGTCGACCCGACTATTTAATATATTATCTATGCTTAGGACCTCCTACGTATTTTATGGGTGGATATGGAATTATATTAGTTGTATATCGTTTATGCGGTGGTGATTTTTGTGGACGGATGGTCCCGGGGGCGCGGCGACTCGTCGTAGCTCGGCGCGTCAATGTACTCCCCGCTGCCTCTGCGGGCACTGCTCTGCGCAGTGCGCATCGAGTCATCTGTGTACGAAAACTATCGCCGCGTAGCTCAAATGAATGTATATTTTACATTATGATTATAAGGGTGAATCTGAATTTATAAGAGTATTTTTTGTGATCGTACCGTGTCAATTTTGCTGCTTTCCAACACTGTAATCGATTAACTCGGGCCCACATTCGCAAATATTGCAAGCTATACCAAGGATGACAATGAATGACTTAATAGATTGCGGAAATAGAGTGAATACATCCAACATGTAAGTTAGCACTTCTAGCATAAATTATACTTGATTATAACAAAAAGCTACCTATTACTGTAATTCGTGTTACTTTATAACAACTTCCAAGTGCCATATTTATGAAATATGAATGGATAAAAATCGTGTACTGTAAGTTCAACAGTGATATAAAATTGCATATAATAAATCATTACAGTGTTAATTTAAATAGCAGGTCTATATAGCACCATAGAATGTTCTTTTTACATTGTTATTTGTTTGTTGCTTATTTTGGAAGTATTTTAATAATAAAAGATGAAATCGATTTCGGCAGGATGTTTTATTAAAACCTCTATGATTTTCCAAAAATGTTAACTAAAAGCTATGTTCGTTCTTAGTCTACAATTACATTATTTATAACAAGTTGACCACGGTGGTAGGTACTGGCATTCTCTTCCACTGTCATGGACATTGCTCGCTCAGTGCACCCAGTGGAGCTAGTCCGTATCTGTAAAACTCATTTTGGCATCTAAACATTGTCGAAATAAAACCATCTAGAACATTCCAAGACATTACCAACTTTCATTCCTGTTTATAACTTTATAAAGAGATCTTATATCTAAGCGTAATAAGAGTTGAAAAAGCAATAACGGTATAAAAATAAGTATTTAGGTACATTCAAACTTAACTCCATAGCATGTTGGTCCACAAAGAAAATAAAAAGTTCTAGTTTACCGGCTACAAGTACATTACTCTACCACAAAGGAAATATTTCTGTCATTTTTACAAGTTACAAGTTATTCTAATTATGCGAAGCAGTCGATACTTGTATGACAGATTATTTAGTAATTTTTAATTGACAATTTCAATAAATAATGATCAAGCGATGTGATGTGATGGACAGCAGATTTTCTATTTAATACCAAATACTTTTATTGGTTGTATCCAATTATTTTATTGTATTATTCAATTCGTTGTACTTGCGTTGATCACAACAACTATTGACATTGAGAAAAGTTGAGGTAATTTGTAGTAAATAGAGAATTATGTAAACATTACGCTCCATGAAAATAGCAATAACAGCATGTGTTGGCTTAATTCCAGCGAGTTGAAACAGATCACAATCGATAAACAAATTAGCTATAGAATTCTTTGGAATTCTAGATAGAGTTCAAATGTATGAGAAGACAAAATTATCTACAAAAGTAATATGACTTATTACTTTTTAGAAAAATGTTGTAAAAGTGAAGAATTATGTATTTTAAAAAAGCTTTACCTAAATTACATGTTGTTGTGATCATCACACAGTCATAAGCATCAAATCGCTTTGATTTCCGATTGTCGTGTTACTTAAGAACTAGTGCTAATAATATTAACGTTCGAGAATCATTTACATACATAGTGACTAGGCAAAATGAAGCGTCTAATTAAGTACTTAGTCTAACACACTCACTCTAGTAAGGCAATAACAACATTGAATCGTGTCGTAATCAATAAATAACCAATGTGTCCCCAACAAAACATTTTAAATAACATTTACACAACATAACATCAATCATTAACTTACCAATAATTGTGCAAAAACTATAGAACCATTCTTTTATGACTAGGTTTCGAAATATAACATTATGGCACATCTAAAAAAATAAAATTTGTGCACGAATACTTAAACATTAATTAAATAGGTAATATAAAAATAATTATTCGAATCACTACAAACAATACTTTTGGAAGACTAAATTATTAAGTGGAATGTATGAGAATAGTTGTATAAAAAAATGAGATTCATATATCGCAGACTGTAAGCAGAGTTTTATAAATGTAACAGATCTGTCACTTGAGTGTGGACGTCGCGGCGTCCTGAGTATGTTTTTAAGGCCGATCCAAGCAGTAGGCCCGTGTATGAAAAATAATTAGGAACGTAGAAATCCTCACAAATCCTTGTGCCGTGCGAGAAACTAGTGATAGCTTACAAAGTAATTGTACTATAAGAAAGCGTATAGCGGTGACTTACGTCTAGGTACGCAGACATTTTGTACAAATAAGACTCGTTGACTCGTCCCCCACACACATACATCAACATATAAATAACTATGGACAGATTAGATTTGTAGATAAAAAAAAATAACAATTTCGTGAGAATTTTCAGAAAGTTTGAAAAGTATTTACATATTATTTGGCTGAAGCCGAGTATGTGTGGGGGACTGACCCTACTCCTATAAAGTAACGTGGCTGTAAAATTTGACACTCGTGTTGTGGAGGGTGGAGTGAGAATCAGAACAGGTCGACGACCTTGCGCTTGAAGTAGTGTTTGAGGGGCGTGTAGTAATGGCGGCGGAGGGCCACCAGCTCGGGCGCGCGCCGCAGCGCGTGCAGCCCCGACAGCTCCGTCTCGAACAGGAGCAGCGCCAGTAGCGCCAGTGCCAGCCACACTACTAGGAAACATGCCGCGAAGGCCCGCACTGCACTCAGCGCTCTCCACCCTGCGCCCCCCGCCGGTCTCCACCCTGGCTCCGTGCTACCCCCTGGCACCAAACCTCCTGATGTCACTCCCGACTCCGATGATGAATGCTCAAAAGAGTCGCGTAGACTGTACTCCGATGGAATCGCTGTAAAACAAACATCAGTTTCACACTTTTAATTTGTACTCTACACTGAGAAATAATTAAAAACCTATAAATTATTATTGAGTAAGTTTTATATGTAGTTGAAACATCCCTGCATTTTATGGCGAGACATTGACGTTGTTATTATAAAGTCTTACACCAAAATTCGGTCGAGTAAAAAGATTTAGGTAAAGAAACTTGCCTCGTTTCTATAATAACTGTCCTGAGACATACTAAATAAACTAAAAATTGCTCACGTGAATATACTGAGCAAAGCCCTACTAGTCGTGATCGCGGCGACATCGCGCAGTCAGTACGCTACGGGACATTGCCGCAGCCGAATAAACTAGTAGAGATTTTCTTAGTATATTCACGTAAGGAACCCGCGATTTTTTGTTAAAACTTGCGTCTATTTATTTCACTTACCAGGTGGCTTGACCTCCTCCTGAACAGTCCGCAGATGGTCGGTGCAAGCTAGTGCGATGTCTACAGCAGGTCCACTGAGTAGACACGCCCCGTTACAAGTCTCGTCCGCCCCACTCTCCTCTAGCGGAGCGCTGTGTGTCGACCGCGGGAGACTACTGTAACCTGCGAGTTGAATGGTAATGTTAGAACAATTATTACGGCTTCTAAGTCTATGCATACGATATTTCCGATTAAGAAAATCTCCCTAAATCATTTATCTACTACGTATTTAAATAAGATCTTACTTTTAAAACTTACAATATTTGTTATAAACTGATAATAAATTACTTACTTGACAGATAAAAATTATTTGACTTAGTTATATACATTCGTATTTTACTTGTTGTTAGTTATTAAATTAATGCGATGGTGATACATTTGAGGTATTTAAGGGTCTCTAGACCGACGGACCGTATTTAAACTGCTATCCAACTGTAATTTGCAGTTGACACGACTGCAATTGAACTGCAAACCAAACGTGCAGTCCGATTGCAGTCACGACCAAACGGTCGCAAACCAAACGAGCAGTTTTATTGCAGTCGTGTCAACTGCGTTCAAATTGCATCCGAAATGCAATTCGCAGTTGGATTGCAGTTGAAATGCGATCCGTCTGTTTAGAGCCTAAAGGATTATACCACTGACCAACAGCAAAAGGAAGTTGATATTAATAAGTGCACATTTGAATGAATTTTAGATTAATTAAAATCTTAAACATCACCAATTTGTATAGTAAGTTCAATTATTATTTACAGAAAATATCGTATGTATAAACTGTAACCTAAGTGCAGAGTACCGGAGCTTATAGGGCAGGATATTTATCTACGTTCCTACATTACAATAAGTAATTGTGATAAAATAGATATGTACGATAAATACCGAAGTCTCCCGTCATCGGCGTGGACGGGGTGGCGGGGACACTGGACGCTTTCCTCTTACCGCCTGTACTAGAACCCTCCTTCTGGAATAAAGGGACCTCCTATAGCATTCTTACTTGGTAATATTTTCCACATTTTGATACTTTGACTTTGACTTCTTGATTTTCTACATTTGACTTTGACTGCACGGTTGGTGCGGTGGCTGGGCAACCGGCTGCCGTGCAACGTGTCGCGGGTTCAATTCGCGGACGGAACAACACTTTGTGTGATCCACAAATTTGTTTCTGGTCTGGGTGTCATTGTGTATGTGAACTTGTATGTTTGTAAACGCACCCACGACACAGGAAAAAATCCTTATGTGGGGCAACGTTTAAAAAACAATATCTTTTATTTTTGGAGCTGTACATACAAATTAGAATTAAGAAATGCCTAAAAACAATCTCTCTTTCGATAGATTTTTTTGTTTTATTTTGTTTAGCTTGCAAACGAGCTAATTTCGAGTGCGCGCGGAAACACATCAATTTAAGATTTTCCTCGCAGAATAGTCAGATTGAAAATGCTAAATTTATTTAATCAATAATTTACAGTAACAACTGCAAGGTTAAGTCACGGGAAACGTTGCCCCACACTTGGATTTTCTCCTGTGTCGTGTGTACGTTTACAAACATACAAGTTCACATACACATGACACCCAGACCCGGAACAAACGGGCAAGCACTTAGACAGAGGTGCACATTACGGCATTTAGTGCCACTGTACAATATAACACCCACTTTTCACTATTTATGTTATGAGTCCCTTGTAATAGGGGGTGAGCCTATTGCCATATACCGGGCACAATTCCAAACTACGTGCTACTACTGAGATTTTTTTAAAAAACCTTTTGCTCGACCAACGAGCGAGTCCTTTTTTAGTACCTATATCGTAATATAATAGTATGTCGATAGACGAGTATAGAGTATACCTGAGTATCTCTAGGCGCGAGTAGTCCGTCCCTCTCGAGTATTTCCCTCTCAGTTCGGCCGACGTACTTGAACTTGGTGCCCCACGAGAACAGTCCGCCGCCCGAGTATACACACGCGTCCGACGATGATGGTAACCTGTACAACAATGATTATTCACATAAAGTTAATAGAACATAGAATATTTTATATGAATAAAAATAGAGAAGAGTTTAATATTATTTAGTTCTAAGATAATTAATTAACCTTGGGTTTTAGTATAGACTCTATACTATAGAGCTATTCCCTTTGGTCTGTAAATACTACTTTTTAACACTAAAACATTCACTAATCTTTGTAAGAATATTCTTATTGTTTTATGTGATGAGTAAACTAGCAGACCAACAGATCACCTGACGGCTCTTCTGAGCAATCTGCGTTGCCTATGGACACCTTGAACACCAGAGGCGTTACAAGTGCTTTACCGGCCTTTTGGGGATTAGAAATTTGATAAATGTTGGGGATTCAGGGATTGAGGAAGGGGGAAGGGCTAGTTGGGCCTCCGGTAACCTCACTCACACAATGCAAGCGTTGTTTCACGTCGGTTTTCTGTGAGGCCGTGGTAACACTACGGTCGGGCCGGCCCATTTGTACGCAAGTATGACTCTCCCACACTTAATACTTTATTTCTCCTACACTTACTGAGTGAATGTTGTGTGAATAATCCTAAGTAATACTCATGTTAACAAAATGTAGAAAGAAGGTAACTGATATAAATTGGGCATTTACTTAACGATCCTAAAATAAAACCACTTTTTTAAGAGGGGAAGTTATCGAATGACTTCTCCCGCCTGGGTGAGGTGGGAGAAGTAAAACCACCAACAAAATGAAACCACTAAGATCTCATTGACATCTTTAACAAGGTACTTGAACAATTAACCACAGACTAATTAGCAAGTAACAGAGATTATACCACTATAAGTACATGTCCGGGCATTGACTCATACACTCCTACAACATATTCACATAAAAACTACTCTATTTACTCATACAAAAACTGCTCTAGCAAAAAACCTGCTCCATTTTATTTAGTACTTACGTAAAAAACAGCATTTGTTCGATGGCACAGCACCACACGTGGCGGCAGGCGGGACCGTTCGGACATTTGAAACCCACTGTATGCTTCTTCTGAAATTCATAATTATATATTATGTTCACCAAATATTACACGACATAGTAATAGAATGAGGTATATAGGATACTGCATATTCCTTAAAAAATATACTAAAGAGTTGCTTCCAGCAGATTTGCTATTGGAAAAGCGTCTATAATTCGAAATTATTACTTATTTAATTATGTATTTTATAGTTTAAATGTGTTTAGTCCACTGAGCCAATTGCATCTGTTAACGGGGTTAAAAACTGGTCTTCATAATTTTTTTTTAGATTATCACCCTGCGGTTAACTGAAATGAAATGATATTTATTTCTTTCTGCAAATTGATTACAATAAGGATGATGACAGGGTATGAAAATTAAAAATCTAATTAGTCCGTCAGGTAGGTAACGAAAAAATATTAGACACGTATTTTTTTTTTATTTAGTCGTATAATAAAATGATACTTAGATATAACGAATCAAAGTTTAGGAGTGGGGGCTAAAACGTCATTTCTACGTATAAAATGTACATAGAAGTGACGTCACGCGACATTCAAATCAATATCGTCAAAAGTATTCCTTTCTGTAAAAAAATAAAAAACACGTGTCTAATGAAATAAAATAATCTACCAGACGGACATTAAAATAAAAATTAATCATCTACTCTTGTGTTGTGAAGTGTTTTCAATAAATTTTATACTATTATACCTCTATAAAGCGGAAGAGTTTGTTTTTTTGTTTGTTTGCTTGTTTGAACGCGCTAATCTCCGTAACTACACGTCTGATTTGAATCATTATTTTTGTGTTGGATAGCGCATTTATCGAGGATGGCTATAGGCTATAAAACATCACGCTACGACCTAAAGGAGCTGAGCAGAGCGTGTGAAACCGCGCGGAAGTAGCTAGTACAATATAAAATTCAGACATACACTTTTGTAATAAAGTTCAAAATCTATTTTTAAAAGGCAGCACAATGTGCCAGTTATTCAAAATCAGATTGACCAATCAAAACCGAGGGGAAATAACGGAATTGTGAAGCTATTCAATGCACCATTGTATTACTGTCGACACGTGTATTTTAACAAAGAGTTTCATCTTAAAAGAGGTCATTTTATACTGGTACATAAGTACCCTATCCTGCTTTATTATTAAAACTTCAGACTCCTATAATCTGTGATTAAAATTCAAGGTTGTGTAGCAGATGTACGCTTTGTACTGACCCCTTTATATTGAATTTATTTCAATTCGATATTTCGGCTTTTGTTAAGAGTACAACGTCCAGATTTTTATACTGAAGGGGCTATGCAATTGCATAAGTTAAAATGATCTTGGAATTCAACGGTTGTTTGCAAAAATTGTAATAATAGCTTTAAGAAATCAACGGTATCTCGAAGAATGAATTGAATTAAAAAAAGTATTTATTTAAGCTCACCCCTCATACTATACAGGCTCACCCCCTATTACATGGGACTCATAACATAAATAGTGAAACGTGGGTGTTACATTGTACAGTGGCATTAAGTCCCGTAATGTGCACCTCTGCCTACCCCTTCGGGGGTAAAAGGCGTGATGTTATGTTTTGTTATAAAAAATTCGACGCCTGTGGATAGCAAAACAACAGATAGAAAACTATGTAAATCTCCTCACCTCTGGGTAATTAAGATGTACAATAAACATGCGTCCCTCGAAGTTGATCTTGTGCACTTCGGACCATTTGAAGTGGTGCGTCTTCCGACTGCCCTGGAACGTCAGGATCCCACTGTGGTTGATGCCCAGGTACAGCTGGTTACCTCTATGGTCCTGTGTAAGGGAAATCATTTCAAATGTTGGTGTTTTGTGGCTAATTAAAGATAAGAATGAAAGTAAGTATAGAACAGTTCACATAGGATAGAGGAAAGAAGTGAATTAAAGGTTTAAAACTTTATGCAATATTGATCAATTCATGCGCATCATACTGATTTCTTTAGATTGGTCAATATTAATCGTTCATTTTAATAACTTACATTATTGTTTTCACCTTTGCCGTGGTGCGTTCAAGAACATACGGTACAAATTTACATATCTACATATCTACATATCACACCCGACCATTTGTGGAACCATCATACAAAGAATTGTTCCATGCGGGAATCGAACCCACAACACCTTGTTTAGCAGTCAGTCACCCAACCGTCTATTTTGCGCTATATTTCAGTTCTAAACCCAGCTACCATTATTTACTACTTACATAAAAACAAAATAATTAAAAAAAATAATAAATAGGAATATAGAAGGGCACACATATAAAAAAAAATTGACAGGATGGGGATCGACGCCGTACGTGTCGAGTTGGCAGGCGATCTTTACAAACGTGCGCTCAGCTTCCTGCGTCGACATGCCCTTCACGCCTCCACTCCCGCCCGGGGTACCCTCTACTGGTTCTCTATGTAGCTCCTGGATAAAGAACATAGTAGGATAGTTAATTTTCACTTCTAGATATTAAGATATATAGATATTTTGTAATAACAAAGAGAAAGTGTATAAAAAATAAATAAGGTTTCAAGCTTTTCATTTTTATTTAGTACATAAATACATAACTTCACGCTTGTCTCCCATGGGGCCAGGCAGAGAATAGGGAACGCCAATTACTACGATTCCTACATACTTCTTTCGCTTCATCAACAGTCATCAATCTTTTCATGCATGCTCGTCGGTTAATGGTACTTTTAATTTGGCCCTTCTTTAATATATCGCCAATCTGGTCACTATAAGTCCGTCTAGGGCGCCCTCTACCGACGGCCCCATTGATATTTATTTTATTTAATTTACATTTAATTTTTAAGGTGTAAATATTTTAGTTCATAGTTATTTATATTTTAAGTTGTATATATTTTCATTTAGTATTAGTGTATTAGTAAATTATGAAACTGATTTACTGTCAGGCTTAGGGAGACTTCTCGTATACGTTGTTTCTTTCTATAAACATACATTGATTAATTAGTCTTGTTTACATTCAAAATACACCTAGCCCTCGCGGAGAACCTAACCGGGTAACCGGGGCTCCGGCTCGATGTGCAGGAGAAGGAACGGGGTTGGTTTTTAGTCAGTAAGAGTCTGACACTCCCTCCCGCCTCACCCAGGCGGGAGCAGTCATTCGATGATTTCCCCCCTTAAAAAAAAGCCCTGTAAGATGATACTCAGTCTAATTTGATTAAAATTCTGTGCCCACTCCAACCTGGTTAGAAAAATAATAAATGAAAGATATTTATTTATTCAGGTTTTTTAACTAATTTTTCAAACCTTTTTCTGTCTGGAGTCTATACATATTGAGGAGATTGGAGGTGGATATTATATTCTATTTTTTCTTAAATCAGTATTTTTTGGTTTCTGTTAAGTATTCATATTTATAATATTAATAATACATTATGAAAAGTAAGATTAAATATAACAACTTAAAAATACATTAAGAATAGAAAACAAAAAAGAATAAGTAGCTAATTTATTTAACTACTAGCTTTTACCCGCGGCTTCGCTCGCGTCACAAAAGGATAAAAAGTAGTCTATATGACATATACAAATACACACAGCGCCATCTATACCAATAATTTCGTTTTCCCTCGAGAATATCAAATTTTTCCGGGATAATAAGTACCCTATTATTTAATCCAGACTTCTAACTTCATATCTGCAAAAATTCAAAGCAATCGGTTTAGTAGTTACGGCGTGCAAGCGGAACAAACAAACAAACTCACTTTCCGATTTATAATATTAGAAAGGATCTTAACTTTGTTTAATCTCAAGAAGATTGCAAATAAATAATAGATCCATTCACAAATCCAGCCTTGCATAGTAACCATGTTTAGTCTATTCCTAAGCCACAACAATGACCTACACGCGTGGCTACTATATGTTAGATTATTATTATTATTGCACAACATTGTGAATTTGTTATATAAACAATATCAACTTTGCCCCCTCGTGTACTGAACTCATGACGTATCTAATTGATAAGATTAATTAATCAGCATCACTGTCGATTTCTCTTCCTTTGTACCTACTCTTTCAATGTATACTATTGATTAGAATTGAAAGCATGTGCATTTACTAAATAAAATACATATTTCCTATACTTGGCACATTTTCTATATTATATGAACTACACCCAAAGATTTTAAATCTTAATGAATTTGGTCTATGAGTAGAATAACTACCTTATTCATATCATTTTGTCGTATCTTAATATGAATAAATAGATAGCTTTCGTTAAAAAAATCTTGAATGAAATAATTCTTTTTTTTCCTTTAAAAAATCCGCCTTCAACTCCCTTTTATGAAGTCACTGTCTACTTCCGCGCGGTTTCATACGCTGTGCTCAGCTCCTATTGGTAGTAGCGTGATGTTTTATAGTCTATAGCCATCCTCGATAAATGCGCTATCCAACACAAAAACAATTATTCAAACCAGACTTGTAGTTACGGAGATTAGCGCGTTCAAACAAACAAACAAACAAAAAAACAAACTCTTCCGCTTTATATAATAGTATAAGAAGAAAAAAATATAAGATTAATATACTAAAACGTTATCCTAATAAGTGTAACAAATACTTTTTTGAAAACCGCATCAAAATCGGTTCAGCCAATAACGAGATAACCGCGCACAGACATATGTACATTTATACATAGACAGATCAAACTTACCTCCTTCATTTTTGCAAGTCAGTTAAAAACAAAAGGCATTATTTTATTAATTACCTGTATCCTAGCCTCAATAGTATCCGTTTGTCTCAGTAGCAGCCTCATCTCCGTCACATAGTTGCCGACGTGGATGTTAGGGTCGTAGTCGCCTAACTCGACTGTGGAAAAGAAAAATATTTATGATTACGATGATGTTTAGTAATTTGTCAATCACTGGGCAGTAGATTTCTCGTAATTTTTTTCAAGGCATAAGCCAGTAAACTAGCGTACGGGTCACCTGATGATAAACAAATCGGTATCGTCCATGGACACCCTGAACAAAGACGCGTTACAAGTGCGTTACCGGCCTTTTGGGATTTACGGATCGTTGGAGATTCTGGTATTAGGGAGATTGGAGAGGGACACCGGTACGAAACACAACGCAAGCGTTGCTTCACGTCATTTTTCTCTGTGAAGCCGAGGTATCACTTCGATCGAACCGGCCCATTCGTGCCGAAGCATGGCTTTCCCGCACTTAAAAGCTTAATTATTTTATTTTATTATATTATTAGGTCAATCCTGAACCTTTTAAACTGCGATCTCCATCTGTCGTGGAGATAATGGCAAACCTTCTTAAATAGAGAAGAATACTGTCTATTGTATGTTAGTGTAAACTATAATAGGTATCTAATATTATAGTAAGAGAAATTGTATCGCATATTGCTTAACTTTGTAAACACATCGACGTCATTCTCAATGTCGTCGTTGCGCAAACAAAAGCGTTAGATGGGTAGTAGACGGATGTATACTCTACCTATTGAATTGTACCACGAGTAGTACAAATATTTATTTATCCCATTGTCACCCCTTGTTATTGTGGGATTACTATGTTTATCTATAAACTGCCTCGTTGGCCGAGTGGTCGCAAACGGTCGGGTTCGATTCCCGGGTCGGGCAAAGTATTACTGGGTTTTTAAAAATCTCAGTAGTAGCACGGAGTCTGTAAATGTGGCCGATATAATAGGCTCACCCCCTATTACATGGGACTTATAACATAAATAATGAAAAGTGAGTATTACATTGTAGTGGCATTAAGCGCCGAAATGTGCACCTCCTTCGAGGATAAAAGGCGTGATGTTATGTTATGTCTTATGTTTATCTCTATGGGATAAACTTGTCAAGGAACCTTCATCACTATTTTACATTACATACACTATACAGCCATAACATACTACTTGGAATATTTCCCACTCAACAAATAATTTTCCGAAGACGCTCTAATCAATTTCAATTAGACTACAATGTCTGCGATACAAATAGTTGCCTACTTAATGTCGATGCACAATTATCAATGATGCAGTTCAATGTCTATTACCTAAACACAAACATCCATATGATTATTATATGTATACATAATAAACACGTGTTTGTTCACCAAAGGAGTAAATAGACGTGTACATATTTAAATTGCTTTTAATTTACCTGACAGATAATTTGATTTATTTTTTCATTTAAGTAACTATAATCAGGCATAGTGATACGTAATACTCTAATCCAGGTTTTTTCAAACTATGGTTTTTTTTTAAGGGGAGAATATCATCGAATGACTGTTGACTGACCCAGGCGGCTGGGTGAGGCGGGAGAGAGTGTCAGAGTCTTACTGACTAAAAACCACCCCGTTCCTTCTCCTGCACGTCGAGCCGAAGCCCCGGTAACCCGTTAGGTTCTCCGCAACCAAACTATTGGTTGCGTTGCGACCCACTGGCGGGTCGCAAGCGATTTTTTGATAGGCCTTGTCTGTAGAAAGACGCAGATTCAACCAACCGATCTGTATTTAGTTTTTCATATTGGTAACAATTTTAATTTCTTGAAGGTGACTCCTGAGTTTAGGAACTCGATTTAGATAGTTCGGTCAGACAACTTTGCGAACTAAAGCGAACCATAAAGACTAGACTAGGTAGAGAAAGAGAAGACTTTAACGAGTGAATAGGAAATAACTAACTACAGGTAAATATTCTCTATACAGTATCATTTTACCCCTTCAAAGATAGCGTGATGTTTCACGTCAAACCAATATGTTTAATGTACTCTAGATTACAACTAGAAATCAATCAAATAAGTGGGTTCTATCAACGAAACCACGTGGTCACCACGTTTGAAATAAAAAAGCATTCAAAAACGGAACAACATCATAAATTACAGATGAAAAGAACACAACTGCTGCATAAATACAGTTTCATTATACTTTTAAAATGTAACAAACAAGCGAATAATTTCGACCATTTCCTGTCGCTTTATCGGTTCGCCTGTACCCTTATGTAAGTCCCATATTGACTAAACACATTGTTAACTAAAAAAAACCATAAGTGTTATCAGTGTAGAAGTGCAAACTATTTCTGTTATTACTTTAGAATTTCCTACAGATAACTGATAAGTTCTAGAATTTGATACTTTGCCTATTACCTAAAATGAGGTTTTATTCACTAAAAAAAAACCCTTTTAGCATTTCTAATAGTTACATTTGGCAGGTTTTATAATTCCTCAAGCCATCATTACAAAATTTTAAGAAAATTAATTTAGCCAATTGTAAAACATTAGTGTTTTAATTTAAACATTGATAATCCTTTTTCCTAAGGACTGATCTCTATACGGTACTTAAGAAATCAAATTCGTAAAATCTAATTGGTTAGAGTCGGTCTGAAAAAATGAGTCTAAACATTTAGTATTCCAATCAGAATTTCCGCTGGCGTTGACGTAATTTTATATTAGCATAATTTAAGCACTTGAAACTCATATCTATAGCTCGTCGGCGTTTGAAAAATATTTACTGAACACGTGGTTTTGACCATGTGGTAGTTAAGTTACCTATCTATTATACCTTGAATTTTTATTCCTAGATCTATCTAGAATGATAATTACTGTTACAAGTACATATAATATTAGATACAGGAATGTCTTCACACACAATAATAACAATGTCACAGGACTAAAAGGACTTCAGCAGAAATTATTAATTAGGTCAGGAGACTAAGGTTAAGCAATAGCCAACCATTTCTATAAAATTGTGTCTTGCATTACATTATTTTATTCCTATTTAACAAATCACTCAATTCAATATAAATAATCAGCTCAGAATCCAACCTACAATACATTGTTTATAATATACTGTCTCATACTTGAAGCTTCCTTATGTGTACCGCTAAGGAGTGGAATTCCTTGCCAGAATATGTATTTCGTGAAGGGTACCTATAACCTGGGTGTCTTAAAGGCCCGAGTCAATAGGCTGCTTATGAGACGACATGCTCCATCGTAGACCGCATCATCGCTTACCACCAGGCGAAACAGAGGTCAAACGTCGGACCGTCAAATATAAAAAAAATAATAGAACTCAACAAATACTCAAATCTACAAATATCTTTAGAATACAAATAAAACTTACTTTGTATAATAAGTGCTCCCAACATAGCTGCCTCGTTAGCCGTGCAATATAACCTGCCATGTAGTAGGTCTCTTTTCAGCTGCAAATATATCTGGAACCTAGTCACATCTTCTTTTAGCAGTAGAGGATTTGGCGGATAGAACTTCACTCGGAAACTAAATAGAATTGGCGAGGCATCTGCAACAAAGATGTTATTTAATAATGTGATTTCTCAACTTTACATGATCACTTGTTTCATAAAATAACAGGTGAAAGATTGTTGTATGAGACCACCTCTACTTTAGGGATTAAAAGATATGATGTTATTTCCATAAGAGGAACAACTCTACAGTCAACAAATTATGTGCTCTAGTGTTCAACAAAATACCTAATATATTGTAGCTTCTTTAAAAAAAAATTACCCCAAACTAGGATTTTCTCCTGTGTCATGCATTTACGAAAATACAATTTTACATACACCTAGACTCCGAACAACAATCTGTAGATCACACAAATGAGTTGTTCCATGCAGGAATTGACCTCGCGACATGTTGCGTAGCAGCCAGTTGCCCAGCCACCGTGCCAACCGTGCAGTTGAAGTTGATAAAGAAAGCAGTTATCAAAAACTCCTTACAATACATACCTTTAACTTGTTTCAATATTAATTTTGCCATATGCAGCCAATGCTGAAAAGATAGAAAATAAAAATATACACAAAAACTAAAGTTAATTAATATATGTACCTAATAAGTATTAGCAGAGATATCATATACCTATAATTTATTATTGCTTTAGATAAATATTATATTTCTGTATAACTATGATTTAAAATCATAAAAATTATTGTCAGTGTTTCAAATGGATTGTACATTTTTATTATATCCTTTATAAAATGCCTTTTGAAGTGGGAACTTTCAGAATAGCTACTAATACAATTGTAACTCCTTCCAGTTGGATACCTTCCAACTGTATTTTTGATGAACTGGCTATTGACTTACTTGGTAAACTTGAATGTAGAGTAATAAATTGCTGTTTGTAGCTAAGAGGCTCTGATCTAAATTTTGCTTAAACACTATTGCAGTATCAAATTGCACATATGCTTCTGCCATTAGAGGACTGAACAGTATATAGTACTAGTAATAGTATTTGTAGTACTAAATGTAGGACTTGAATTATTTCCTGCTTACCATATAATATACTAAATTAACTAGATAATGAAATAGATACCTAACTAATATACTACTCTAAACATAGAACCTTAATGTGGTTTATCACATAAAAAAAATAGTAGTGTTGATTAAAACCTTTTTATATTTTGAAAAAAAATTCGTGACATGTTGTCTTTTGTTTTATTAATTTTTTTCAGTAGTTGCATGTATTTTTTAAACAGTAAAGTGGGCAATTCCAGTGAAACAGGCCTCAATTAATTATTTAATGTTCTTATCATAGTCAGTCAAGGTCAAATTGGGTTGTTATTCAGAGAAACGTAATCCATTATATTACTTACCCTTTGACCACCAGCGTCCACATATCGCAGTCCGAAATAATCAGTCTCAGTGAGATTTAACTGTTGACATACATGCTCCAACAAGAATTTGCCCTTGTAACTTGGCTGAAAAAAGACAACCGCTTATTATTTTCTCTTTTAGGATATGTACCGGCTACTAATCATTAATTATTTACTAAATACTCACGTGAAATTCACATTCTAATATCTCTGTATCTTCTAAAAGCCTCACTGTACATTTATAAACAATATCTCCGCGACTTTTGAACATGCTGCCAACTATTTATTTAGAACAATATCACGATTAAATATTATTAATAATTAAGCATTCTATTTTATTAACGCATGGCTAGCTTAATTTTATTTCCATACATGAGTTCATTCAAATTTTCATTTGTTTCATTTCGATTTCAACATGGGAAACTCAGTGGGGTGCGGACTGTGCGGTGCGGGGATGAGAAAATTTGACATTTCATAAATTACGACGTTCGGTAGTAGGTAGGTGTATTAAAATTTTCAGATTCAGAAGGTGTTCAAATACCGAAATTAAATTTAATATAAAACTGGGAGTAGGTATATTTACTTACAGTACAGTATTTAAAGCATACTCTATTTCGCAATTAGTAATAAAAGCAATGAATTTGTTCCTTAGGGTAAATTCGCAGTATGCTCGATTTACGATCGATTCTCGATACTAAATTCAATAATGCTGAATATTAACCGAATAAAATGTTGCGTCACGTCTTGTAATTTAATATAATGAGCCAACATTTAAGTTACGTTATATTTCAGAAAATAAAATAGTAGACAAAGTAACGAATCGTTACTATTTCGTTACTTAACGAACACAAAATAATGTCTGTGGTAACGAATTACTATCGAAATAGTAACGGAATAGACGATGGTTAGATACACCTTATTTTTTTGGTTTTATTAAACACTATTAATTACTAGATTTATTTCACTAATTCCTAAACCTATGTGACTGGATTAAGTGTTGCGGGTTGCCAGTGATGATATTTTTGTCGTTATTGATTTCTGAACGAATAAGCGCTTCCACGCGTCATATCCGTAACACTCACAAAGTTACCACACTTGAAAAAGTTTCCAACAAAATGGTATTCCAATATGAAACACGAATGACACAGCAGACTATTTTATTTAGGATATCATGGAGATCATGAGATGTCATGAAATTCTTAAGGATGCCTAAGCACATTCCTAGGTTTGTTACGTCTCAAGCTAGTTATTAAGTTTAAATTTAAATAGTATGTTATTATAGTTATAGTATCTAAACGATTTAATAAAAAAATATTTCATCCCATAAAATCGTTTGAAAAATGTCCAGTTTAAATGAATACAAGAAAATGTATTTTGATAATTGGATTCTTATTTTTTCTCCAAATTCCCTAACTCTAATACAACCATATATTATTATTAGTCCTTGAAAACAGTTTCCTATTGGCGGTCAAAGGCTTAAGCAATATTTTTTGGTAGTACATATTTTCGCACATCGGGTTCCATTATCGAAATTTCCACACGGTTCCCTTTTTCTCTCTTATTAAATTTAGCGTATGTTCATCATCAATAATGTAGGATTCGAACGGTAAAATAATTTTTGAAATCGGTACGGTAATTTCGGAGGAGATGCCGTTCAAACAAACAAACAAAAAATATTTTTTTTCCTCTTTATACTATTATAAGTAATATAAGTAAAGTTTTTTTATTATAATGTATATTATTACCTAAAAGATTTAGTAAATATGAATAAATACTCCATCCCATTAAATTCTTTGAAAAATGTCCAATTTGAATGAATACAAGATAATTGTATAAAAATATTATACAAATACATCAACATATAAGTGACCACTAACTAACCAGTTGATGTTTTTTTTCACTCCTTATTAAGTGTGTAAATAATCTTTTTCTGAGTCGAAAAAAATATTTTAGAAAGTTCTATACTTTTTACAGACCAAGTCTTCTTGGTACTTTACCGTTAGTAGATTTTGAACCCGCATTTTCTTGCATGAGAAGCATCTCACGCCTCGAGGCCTCCACGACCACCACAAAAAATATAAATTCAATAAACTAAACTGTGATTACTACACTATAAGTTAATACTTTCCTTAATCAAAATAAAATTGTTGTAATTTTTAATATAACAAAATATTTTAAAATGATCACACTTTCATTATTCAACTTTACGATACACTTCATTTCTGTATCACAATCATAAAGTTAATGCTTTTTAGGATTGGAAATAAGTATTCAATTTCATTACAGTTGGAAAGTACCCAATTCCTGTTTATATTATACAGTACTCCAACTAGAAACAATTTCATGGAAAAGAAAATGAAACATATTAGAAGATAAACTTAATTTTTTCCTGCTCTAAGTTATTTTATTTGACCACAATTATAATTTTATAACGTGTATCTGCCAGTAATTAACCTTTCACTGGTGTTTCCATACTTATATAAATGGGAACTTTATAAGTAAAATGTGGCCACACTGAGTACCGGAAGTGAGTCTTCTCGTTCCAGCCAGCTGAAAAAGCAACCATTTCTCGTCCATTCTGTTGGAGTCTATCTCGGATATTACACGTGGATTGTAATCCGTGGTGAGTGTCAGAAGAAATTGTTTAGTGCAGTGTTAAAAGTGATATTAGTTGACTGTAAGCATAAACGATTGTGTTTTTAATCTAAACGTACACCAATAAAGTCAATTTTATTATAATCGCTTGAGTCCTTTTTGTGGTGTAATCCTAAACCTACAGATTACACGTTTCCAACTTACCGTATGGTTACGTTAACTTGTTAAAAATTTAATTACAGCAATTGTTAAGTTAATTGACATCTATTTTATTCAAATATCGAATTTAACACAGTTGTCGTTTGCTTACGCGTCATACTTGTTCATTAACCGGCTCACCACCACGTGGTTGATGCACACTTGTTTTCTCATTTCCATCATTGTTAGCAGTTTAATCATTCAAATACAATAAGGTTTATAGTTATTTGATTAAATGTAAATGTAATAAACGTGAAATTCTCATGTTTTCACCGTAATGGCTGACATCCATTGTGAAATGTCAAGATAGGGCGAGGCGGCCATGCGGCCGCCATATTGCCGGCCGCGCGATACATGAGGTTGCGACCTTGCAGATGCCGGCTCGCATCACACAACCCCTTGCACTTTTCTTATCAATTACATTGTTTTAACGAGGTCCTTTTGTTTTGTTCTAGACTAACCAAAAATGGGCAAGGAAAAGATTCACATTAACATTGTCGTCATTGGACACGTCGACTCTGGCAAGTCCACCACCACCGGTCACTTGATCTACAAATGCGGTGGTATCGACAAACGTACCATCGAGAAGTTCGAGAAGGAGGCCCAGGAAATGGGTAAGGGTTCCTTCAAATACGCCTGGGTATTGGACAAACTGAAGGCTGAGCGTGAACGTGGTATCACCATTGATATTGCTCTGTGGAAGTTCGAAACCGCTAAATACTATGTCACCATTATTGACGCTCCCGGACACAGAGATTTCATCAAGAACATGATCACTGGAACTTCCCAGGCTGATTGCGCTGTACTCATTGTCGCCGCTGGTACCGGTGAATTCGAGGCTGGTATCTCGAAGAACGGACAGACCCGTGAGCACGCTCTGCTCGCTTTCACACTCGGTGTCAAGCAGCTGATTGTGGGCGTCAACAAAATGGACTCCACTGAGCCCCCATACAGCGAATCCCGTTTCGAGGAAATCAAGAAGGAAGTGTCCTCCTACATCAAGAAGATCGGTTACAACCCAGCTGCTGTCGCTTTCGTACCCATTTCTGGCTGGCACGGAGACAACATGTTGGAGGCCTCAACCAAAATGCCCTGGTTCAAGGGATGGAACGTTGAGCGCAAGGAAGGCAAGGCTGAAGGTAAATGCCTCATTGAGGCCCTCGACGCCATCCTGCCCCCTGCTCGCCCCACAGACAAGCCCCTGCGTCTTCCCCTCCAGGACGTATACAAAATCGGTGGTATTGGTACGGTGCCCGTAGGCAGAGTTGAAACTGGTATCCTCAAGCCTGGTACCATCGTCGTCTTCGCCCCTGCCAACATCACCACTGAAGTCAAGTCTGTGGAGATGCACCACGAAGCTCTCCAAGAGGCCGTACCCGGTGACAACGTTGGTTTCAACGTAAAGAACGTTTCCGTCAAGGAGTTGCGTCGTGGTTACGTCGCTGGTGACTCCAAGAACAACCCACCCAAGGGCGCCGCCGATTTCACAGCACAGGTCATCGTGCTCAACCACCCTGGTCAAATCTCAAACGGATACACACCTGTGCTGGATTGCCACACAGCCCACATTGCCTGCAAGTTCGCTGAAATCAAAGAGAAGGTTGACCGTCGTACTGGTAAATCCACTGAAGACAACCCTAAATCCATCAAATCTGGAGATGCCGCCATCGTCAACTTGGTTCCCTCCAAGCCTCTGTGTGTTGAGTCCTTCCAGGAATTCCCTCCCCTCGGTCGTTTCGCCGTGCGTGACATGAGGCAGACGGTCGCTGTGGGTGTAATCAAGGCTGTCAACTTCAAGGAAGCTGGTGGTGGTAAGGTCACCAAAGCCGCCGAGAAGGCCACCAAGGGCAAGAAGTAGCTAGCGCTGTTAACAGCACAATTTTTCATTCAACTGCGATACTTCATTCACCGCAAGGTGTTCCGAAGGAAAGAAGGGCTACAAACTCATTCCTTTTCTATATTTTTTACAAGGCTTATACTGTAACATTATTTTATAATTTATATAAGGTTATATCTGAACTATTTTGTTATAACTGCAAACTAATGTGTAAATTCATAGAATAAAGGTAGCCTCCAGTGAAAATTACTATTGTTTTTCATTTCTCCCGATGAATACACTTAACATACACACACACACACCATTCTTATATAAAGAAAGCATCTAGATAGGTATCTGCTTTACAGTAATAAAATAAAATACATAATACACACATGCTATATTTTATTACTATAATGTTTCACAATGTACTTCAATTTCACCTATTTTTACTAAGAAATTTGGAAATCAAAGAGTAATTGAAAAAGAAAACTTGTAATAATTTCTGGCTTCAATGCACCAAAATTCGAAGGTGAATGAACTCTGAACTATTTCTGTAAAGCGGAAATAGGTGGACACATACCTACGTCTCTAAAATATTAGCACTCTTGAGTCTGTAGAACGCTATAAATAGATTAGCCAAAGTGACCACCCACTCACAATAAGTAGAGAGTAAAATTGTGATTGTTATGTAGATAAGACATAACCTCACGCCTGTCTCCCATGGGTTTACAGTACCTATGTAATATGTAGGTACTAACCTAAAGACATAGGTATATACCAATATACCTAACTCTTATGTATAGAAACTATCGGTACCTACCCTTACCATAAGATTATTCTTATGGTAAAGCTATCCATATAGATGGGAACTTAGAATTCAATGGTATATAATATAGGCTATAGGATTTAAAACAAAAGCTTATAAAAAGGGCAATTGGTGAGCACTTCAACATCTGATTTAAATTTTAATCATGATAGATATGCATTGCCTAAAGAATTGAGGCCAATAGGCATGAATCCTTCGCAAAATTTTATCGTTTTGATTATAAGACACCTAGTAGATATAAGAACTGTCATCTATTGTAGAACTGTGAAGAGAAATACCTAATATACTTTATAACTGCCTAGTTATAAGTTTCACTTTCATGCTTACTCAAATTCGGATTAAGATTCTAAACTTATTACATTTATGTTGTATAAAACATTCGTGTTTATCAAACTCTCAATACATGCATATCTAATGAAGAAATGACCATATTTTAATTATTTTTATTTGGCATTTTTTTAGTACATAGTATAGAAGTACAATAAGGACTTCGTTCTAATTTTTAACTATGTTCAGACAAGGTGAATCACCTCAAAGTTATACGTCACCGTCTTAGAAATGCGTCACATTTAACGCGAATTAGATTACGTCCCACAAATCTGTTCATTGAAGTGACTGAGTCTGTATAAAGTAGAAATCGATTTATGAAGCCTAATTAAATAGAATGTTTAAAGCCACTACATATAGGAAACCTATGTATGCCTATTACTAATTTTGTGCAATAGCTGTGTAAAATCTTATATGGATAGTTCGTTTTATTTAGGTAAGGTTTACACGTCACGAACACGTGTCATTGAAGCATCGTCGTTGCGTTGTAAACTCACGTGGCGACTTCGACTCCAACGTGCCTGGTAATAAAATTAAGGCAATATTTAACCACGTAACTTGTTACCCGAATATGGCGATCAGGTGTTACCCAACTACTTATGTATCATAAATAAAATTGTTTTCTATGCCAAATAACAGCTATTCTATTATAAAAATATTCGTAGTAACTATGCTACGAATAATTTTATATTGTGCAATTATTTACAAGAGATGTGTAATTTACTTTCAGCGCTATTACACAATGTTGTAAATTAATACGTTAACAAAGACAGAGAGAATGCACAGGAATTGTTGGCAATTATCTACTTTATACCTACATAGGTAACCTACCATTTTAATCGTATACTGATATATCTAGCTTTTTTATTACCTGGGTAAGCAGATACCTACAAAACGGTATCGACCACGTGAAACTGGAAGAGTGTTTATGTTACTTTGTATAACTCGTTATACTTTCATACATTTTAATCTATACTAATATTATAAAGAGGAAAACTTTGTTTGTTTGTTTGTTTGTTTGTTTGGTTGTAATGAATAGGCTCAAAAACTACTGGACCGATTTCAAAAATTCTTTCACTATTCGAAAGCTACATTATCCACGAGTAACATAGACTAAATTTTATTTTGGAAATAAATAGGGTTCCGTAATATATTTGGGTTTTTCGGACACAAGGTGTAAAAAATCAACCAGAAAAGTTACTTATTTTGCGTACGCTGCCTAAACTATAAAAGATAGAACTATGAAATGTTCTAATTAGTTGTAGATCTTATAAATATCTACAAAAATCTCCGCGACACACTATACCTATCTATGTCGAGTGAGGCACAACAACCATTTTTTGAATCAAAAATCTTGAATTTTTTAGGACTACTTTTAAACGCATTTATTTTACTCATTCTATTAATCCTTATCAAAATAATTTATTTCATCATTAATTACAGTTAATGTAGATGATATTTGGTCTTTTAATGATTAAAATTGGATGTTTAGTTTCGAAGTTATGGCGATATTAAAATATCACGATTTCTGCTGCACGGCCCGTTGCGAAGTGAGCGTCACCAAGGCGGGGGTGCCCCCCCAACATGTGTAATGGCACGATACTTCTTATAAACGAGCTAAAAGATAATTTAATAGTAGCGAAGATTATCACCGGCCCTGCAGCTGGTGAATTAGCTCATATACCAAGGATACCCATGATTCCTACTGATTTGCCTATACCCTTCAAAAGACTGCAATTTCCAGTCAAAATTTCTTTCGCACTAACGATAAACAAATCCCAGGGCCAAACATTCAAATTAGTAGGAATTGATTTAAGAAAAGAATGTAAGTAGTAAGCAGTGGTAACTTAGGTAGATATCCCGGTATCTGGACACCAATAATTTATATGTATAAAATTCAGATTTACACGATATTGTAATCATAGGTACGAAGGTACCAGCAACTTATTGATAAACAGTACTTTTATAAATAAGTAGCAGTAACAGGTAAAAAGTTTTGGATACAAAACATTGAGCAATTATTCTTGAATAAATTTTACTAACAATATCAAAATCTACATTTACGTTAACCTTTTTTAGATTATTTAAAACCCTGTTATTACTTTCGTATCTCAGAATTATTGATAATATTTCTTATAAGTAAATAATTAGGACGGGTCATTGCCTTCTTGTCGAATTCTCGTCTGCAAAACGCACGATAGCAGGTAGATGACCGCAACCTTCAAGAATGACTCGTAGATGTTCGTTACCAACTGTATAGGTAGACATTTAATAATAATATTTAAATTGTATTAACACGTTCCGATGACCGGATCTGAAAAAGGCGTTGCCTAATATTTTATTTTTATTATATTTTGATTTGTATTCCGTGGTTATTCCAGAACATAATCTACCGCTGTTCAAAATTTCATGCCGATCCCTTCAGCCGTGATTGACTAGCATGGAAACAAATACTTTCGCATTTATTATAATTATTAATAAGATATCTATTAAATGATAGGTTCGTGCTCTAAATATTTTCAGTACACACAATAGCAGCCTACTCCTACTAAGTATATTGTGTTAAATAACTTAATAAAGAATACATTTTAAACACGTAGCATATGCCTTGAAAAGAAGAGGCAGAGAATGCCATGTGCCCAAACCGAAACTCCATTTCTTCGCCTATGTTACAGTGATAACTAGAAATTGGTGTTTGTAAATACCTAGCTCTTTCAATTATGTTATTATAATTATGAAAAAGCTGAACAATAAACATTACCTACATGATAATAGGTAGGTACCTAGATACACATGGATGGGTGAGAATGGAAAGATAAGATAAAATATCAATTGCACAATAAAGTGAAGGAATAGGAGTGTTAATTTAAATAACAGTTTGCAGATTTGGTTCTCTAAAAACACCTTTTACCCTGGGTTTAATTCATTTAATACTTATAGGAATAGATAACATCTAAATGTTATCCTGTAAGTACCTTTGTGTCAGTTGGTAGTTAGGTACCTACTCTATTTCACAATATTGCTTTGAATCGTGTAAACAAACCATAGTAGGTATACTATATCTACGTAGGTAGATGGGTATATACCCAGTCAATGAAACAACTTAATTTTTGTAGGGTGGAGACGAATAAACAGACATTAGTTTTCAACAGTATTTACTTTACATTCTACCTACTATTTACATAATTTTATTGCTAATACGAGATATTGTTAGAGCCACCTTCTCCAGATTCTTCTTGTTCTATTATCTTGTTTGCCCATTCTTCTGCCTGTCTATACCTTTGCCGTTTTACGTAAGGAGCGTACACAGTTTTATGGACAACTACTGCTGCCGACGTTATAGATATAGCCATTAACATTTTCATAAGAGGACTAGAGTTTTTAAACCATACTTTAATGTGATCCATTATGTCTTAGTTTCACTGGATTCTTCGCCTGTAACAACTCTGCGTTTTCTGCCGAAATAATCGTCAAATAGTGGCCTCCAGATGTATACTCCGCTGAATACTCCTAGGACAGTAACTAAAACTATCTGCCCTCTTGTAATTCCTTTAGGCCTATAAATGCGCATTATATAAAATAATCAAATGCGATTTATGTAAATAAAACAGCGCATTTTGGTATCTTTTTGTTCTTTTTTTATTTAGAAAATTTTGAGGTTATTAATATTATGTCACATCGCGTTCCATCCAGACTTATAATTCAAACTTCAAAGTTTAGTTTTGTAGCATGACGTTGATACTTCGTTAGAAATAAGTCAGTTACACAAAAAAATAGTAATAAAAAATATCATCTTTATAATGTATGATTAGATAAAATGCAATTAAATACATTAATAAAATAATTAATAATACATTTATTAAATGTTTTGTATTTTGCATTTTTTGAATATGGAATAAATTTATTTTATAATTTATAATTAAATACTGTAATCTATATTTTAGTAATTTTTGTATTAACATCAAATATCATGGTTTGGTACGTGATGACGGCAAAAGACCAGATGGTATGTCGTTGCTGCCTTGGAAGATGGGTAGGCCTTTGGTGTGGGACGGGACGTGTGCAGACACCCTTGCGCCATCACATCTTTTAAGCTCCGCTGCATGCATTGGTGCAGCTGCTTCTGCGGCAGAGGCCCTCAAACGGCGTAAATATTCAAATCTAGTGGGTAACTACTGTTTTGAGCCGTTTGGGGTCGGGGTCACAACACTTGGGCCATGGGGTCCCAGTGCACACTCTGTGTTTAAAGATATCGCCCGTAGGCTAATCGACTCTACGCGTGACCAGAGGGCTGGCTTTTTCTTCGGACAGAAAATAAGCATTGCCATTCAACGTGGCAATGCTGCCAGTCTTCTGGGAACGTTCCCCTGTGATAGTGATGCGGACGAATACTTTGACCCCTAAATTAAGGGTATCATTTTTGTTGTATTTTTTTTTTTACTTTCATTTTATTTAATAGTTAAGTTGTAGTTAATTTTAAGTTGTAAATATTTATGTAATTATTTTTCTATGTTCAATTTTTAGATTTTACACCCACGTCAAATATTGATTTTACCATAGACAAAGTAAAGGTGTGACAGTCACCTATGAGTGTCACTGTCTAAAGTGACAGCAATATTGAGAGATGTTTTGGTTTGTGGTCTCGTCGTAGTCTCGTTTCGCTACGAAATGTGAATTTTGTGCAACACAAAGTCAAAACATTGAATGTAATAACCAAGAAGTCTGCTAAAAACAAATTTTTTGAGTGAAAATATTACAAAATTACATTTTACAATGGCTACTACCAAAAGAATGGTCCCGAACATTCTGATAACTGGTAATATTGTACATGTAATGCACCTTTTTGTACCCACGTGTATCTGCAGGTTTTCGGATATTTACTTATATATGTTCCGTATATATACTTTTAGGGACTCCAGGAGTCGGTAAATCTACTCTATCACGTTTGCTGGCGGAGAGAACAAAGTTTACTTGGCGAGAAGTGTCCAAGCTTGCGGAGGAATACAGTTGTTTAGACGAATATGATCCAGAATATCAGTGCCCGTTTTTAAATGAAGACAAGGTAATTATATTAGCTTTTCCTGTAGGTTTGCCCGTGTGAAGTAGCCTTTGGATGTAGCCTCCTTCCTTTGTTTATGTATTGGTTGTATTCAAAAAGATTAGTTGAGTTTGATAAAGTATATACAGGTAAATGCTGTCTGGTAATTATAATAATGCAATAAAAAGACTAGACCTACCTTAAAATATATTCCGTTCTTTAAATATTTCATTACATAGGATCTCCAACAAAAGATGTGCATAACATACACTTAAATATAATACAATACTTTAGTTCGATAAAACATGGAATAGTGACATATTTTGTTTATTATGAGTAATTGAGTATTACAATTAAATAAAATAATTACATGCAAACATATAATAAAGGTTGTAACCATGTTCTATTATTACTGAAACACACATTTCCAATTCCAATGGTTTATTTTACCTGTTTTTATTTTTCAATTTAAGATATTTGTTTCCAGTTGCTGGACATCATGGAGGGTATGATGGCTAAGGGTGGCAATATTGTGGACTACCATGGATGTGACTTCTTCCCAGAGAGGTGGTTTGATGGTGTTTTTGTTGTTAGGACCAACAACACAGCACTCTTTGACAGACTTACAGCCAGGTGCGTTCCTATATTTTCTAGATATGTAAATATGTTGTTAACATTTTTCATCGTAGTCTACAAACAGCATAATAATGAAATATGTCCAAATGAGTTAAAACCGTGACTGCCTTGTTGGCCGAGTGGTCGCAAGTGCGACTGCCAGGCAAGGGGTCTCGGGTTTGATTCCAAAGTATTACTAGGTTTAAAAAAATCTCAGTAGTAGCACGGAGTCTGGAATTGTGCGCGGTATATATATGGCAATAGGCTCACCCCCCATTACATGGGACCCATCACATAAATAGTGAAAATGGGTGTTACATTGTACAGTGGCATAATGTGCACCTCTGCCTACCCCTTCGGGGATAAAAGGCGTGATGTTATGTTATGAGTTAAAATAATAGTGAATATGGACTACAAAAATCTGAGCATAACATTTTTCTGAAACTTCCACAATTACATGAGATAAGTTCTCAAGGAAGATAATGAATAATCTATTTCTGTATTTCAGAGGATACACAGGAAAAAAACTAGAAGATAACATTCAATGTGAAATATTTGAAACACTGTTAGAAGAGGCACAGTCGTCATACAAGCCAGAAATAGTGGTAGAACTACAGAATGACACAGAAGACCAGCTACAGAAGAATGTTGAAACAATCACAGAGTGGATAGAAAGATGGAGAGAAGAAAACATATAGATTTTATTTAAACCTTTTTTATGTATTTCCTGTAAATATTATATTATGTACCTTTTTGGGTACTCTTGTCTTGTTGGCAGAACAATAAAATGTGGCCTGTGATATTGTCCAGGTAAAGCCTTAATGAGTCTTTTTATTTCCGAAATTTTTTGTATTAGGCCCATAGCAGCACATGTTACGAACACTCGTTTGAAGCGTGTATTTTAATGGGACAAGCCCGCCACAACCTCCCAAAACCGCTGCAACTCCTGTAAGCCAGGATCTACAGTAGATACAACCATGAAAACACCGGAACACTGAAGTCCGGCGCGTCCCAGGGACATGAGTAACTGTCTTGGTTCCCGCAACGAAGTGAATCAGAAGATATTATAAGAGGAGAAGAAGAAAAACTATGGTTTTCACTTCCCTCGGTGAATTACTGCAGGAGACAGAATGAATTAAGCCTAAAGGCACAAAGAAGAGACTGTACAACTGGGTGAAGCCCAGTCGCCAAGCACCACGGAAATTTGACTAAAAACTAAGTGGGTCCTATGTGTGAGCTGTTATACTTGCTTCCAATAATAGGTATGGCAAAAACGCCTAAACGCACGGAAATTCGTTCTAGATTCCACAAGGTCCGTATAATAA